AGATATTTAAAGATTGCTATCATATGCTTGGTTTCCAGACCCTTTATCATCTTGGTCGCCCTCTCTGCCCATGTTCCAGCTTGTCAATATCCTTCTTAAATTGAACTGGACACAGTACTCTAGTTGTGGTCTGACCAAGGCAGAATAGAGCAGGGCTATTACTTCCCTTGAACTGGACACAAAACACTCCCTCTCCCCATAAACTATACTGTAACTAAGATTTTAAAACTTGATTGTTTGGTACTAGCATTAAACACATTATTAAGCTTTTATCTAGTATTTATAATAAACATTTATATTTATGTAATAATGCCTAATACATAAAGTCAGCGTAATAAGAAATACAACATGCATTTGGGGAGATGTTAAACATCTGTGTTTGTTTCCAGCAGCTAGTAAGTACATTTAATATAGATTGGTTTTTTTGCAGAGTAGTTAAAAAATATGGCTACAAACTGGTTGCTCCATTACATGGATAAAATATATTGATTCAGTAGGGATCTTGTGTCAGGAAATAGGCTTCATAAATCTAATGAGAATGTCAATAAAAACCCAAATAATGTATGATCTGTATTGCCTGAATTTTCAGAGGGGGTTCTACAAAAAAAAATTCTATATACCCCAGCAAAAAAGAGAATGCCCTCTTGTAAATCAGCACATGCCTTTAAAGCTAGTATTCAGAAGACAGATACAAAATAGTTGGTTCTCAAGGGGGATGGGATGACATGCCAAAATGACCCAGTTTGAAACATTTGTTTTAATGGTTTGGAGAAGCTTGTGGATGAAGTTGTATTAAATGTTCGAAAAAGTAGTTAGACTCTAGCATCTATGGTTTGAATAATCCTTAAAAACAGTTGAGGGTTTCTTCATTAATTTTTTTGTGCAGGGAGGAGACTTTTAGGCTAGAAACCTAGACATATTTACCTAGAATAAGTTCCATAGAATTCAGTGGGACTACCTTCTGAGTAGGCATGTATAGAATGGTAGTGTTAATCACTGTTTAGAAATTATCCCTTGCTAGATGAGATGAACTTTCACCTCATCCCTAAGCACATTTTTACTGTGAGAAGCATGTCAGAATATGGGGGGACTAAATATACTTCTTTTGTTGCTGAGCTTGTCAAGCACACCACTGTGTTCTCTTTCCCACCAGGAAGGTCAAACCGCTGGGGGCCATTCTATTTTCTGACATGATCCCTACTGTCTGTCCATGCTGTCTGACAGATTGAAACAGTTGTCTGTGTCACTGTGCTTTCAATGCTTTCTAAATGCTTAATTTTCTATGAAAGAAGTAAAATATGTAAGCGACAAGAGGAGAAAATGGCAGAGGAGCCACAGCCTCTCCTATATTTTCCCATTCTTGTACTTAACCAGTCAAAACCTTACTTTTTCAGTGTCCAAGATGATGATAAATTGTATTAGGTTGAGTCTTTTGAAAGATATGGTAATAAAACGATTAAATATGCAGTGTTTCAATAGTTAAAGTGAAATAGGGGGCTTCTTTTGTTCACTTACATTTCAGTTTTATATATTTTGATTTGAGGTATGTATAAAGCCTGAAGAAATTAGTGCTGTGCTGAGCCTTGAATACTCTCTAGATAATTGAACTAATTAAATCTTTACCAACATTAACACAACTCCAGCATTCCTCGGACAGTGGTTAATTATTGCAGGAACATGGCAAGCTTCAGCTAAACAGATGAAAATAGAGTCCTGTGGAATGGTTATTGAGTTTATTCTTTATTCATCTTTTGATAAGGTTTAATTAAAACTGCCTCTCTCCATTGTGGTAAGAATGAATGTGCTTGTTTTCTTAGTGAAAGCCGAATTATTCCCTTCAACCATGGTTCAGCAATCAAAGCTGCTTCAAAGTTTTGGGTTATACTGTAGCTGTGGAGATATAATTGCTGAAACTCTCTATGAAGGCTTTATTCTTTCTTGTGTTTCTTTATTTTTATTTTTATTTAATATACTTTCAAGAATTACAACATCCTTTTCCAGCTGCAGTTAAATTTTCCAAATGTTTATTATATATACATGGTGAAAGCTCAGAATGGAGTAATTAAAAAACAAACATAAAAAATATTTATTTAAGCTCTCCCCTGACAAAATAGTAAGAGGTCATTATTTTAAAATTGTAGTTGCAACTGGTATTTTTTTTAACTTGGCATCATTTAAGCAAAAATCCTACACTTGTTCAGAAGCTAGACTTTAAGATGAAAAAAAATAATGACTGTTGTCAGGGGCTCAGGAGCAGAGGCACAGGAGAGGGAGGAAATAGAGACCGAGGGGGAGGAATCTGAAGGAAATGTTAGCGATGACAGCCGTCCGAGGTCTCTGAGTCTCTCCAGCGACTCGGAGGATTCACAGAAAGGGGCTCCCATGGTCAGAGCAAGGGGGGTGCCTAGGGGGACACCCCAGGAAGAAGGGGCAAGAGGGGACTCAGAGAGCAGCAGTTGGAAATCAGGACCAGCTTCTCCACCAGAGCGCAGTAGGGGGGAGGAGTCCCAGGCATCGGGATCAGGCGGCTCACCGCCAGCGGGAGGAGATGAGTCAGGATTGGCCACACCTCCATCGGAGAGCGAGGAAACGGTCAAAAGGAAGGTCGGAGACTGGGCGCGCGCGCCAAGTTCAAATGTACAAGAGGGCGGCGCAGTGGGCAGCCCGGATAGGGAGCCAGGTCCTAAAGCCCGCCGAAAGGAGGGAGGAGACTCAGGGGGGTCAGCGTCAGCGTCAGAAGAGTCCAGGACTGAAGGGACCCCGGGGGGTAGAAGGACCCAGAGGAGAAAGGAGAGACGGAAGAGGTGGAGTAAGGTTAGAGTCTTAAACTGGTGTACAGGGGGCGGAGACTCAGATGGAGCTTCGCCGGTCTAGCTCTAAGACGTAGAGCTGGGGCGCTCCGGTTTGGAAATGGAAACTGTACTTCAATAAAGACTTTTGTACATTACTGCCGGCTAGCGTTGGTCCTCTGTGAGCTGGGACCTGGAGCCAGCTCTGACAACTGTGTTTTTAGTGGCAATGAAGGACAGGAATAGTGACTCTTTACATAGGCATACCAGGCAATGATTCATTTTAAAGCAAAAGTGCTAAAAGTATTGATGCCTTGCCAGTTTATAAAAAAGCAAAACTCACTACCTCTCCAGATAAGCAGTTCCATTTGCTACCCACAGATACACAACTTCATTTTTGAAAACTTATTTTATTGTGTGTTTTTTTAAAAACAGTACAATAAAGCTATTATTAAGAAACTTACTATTCATGTCCTATTACGTCAAGATGAGGTTTGATACCGGGGGGGGGGGGCAAAATTTCTACTTTAAAAGTCAACAACAGAATGTGTGGATGTGCCCAACACCTGTAAGTGTGCAAGTAGTTGGTTATATGAACAGTTTGTGAATCACTATCCATGCTAGGCTGTGGGAATCAGGCTAGAGTGAGTTAGGAGCTCAGACCTGAGAGTTAGGGCTGAAGAACAATTTGAAAAGATGGCAAACCAGAAGGCAGAACTGGTAGAATATGCCAGGAGTTGGCATCAAGAAGCAATCTGGATTGGGAGGCAAACCAAAAGGCAAGGCCAGTGGACAAGCCCAGAGTCATAAAGAACAAGGCAATAAACAGAAGTCACACTAGAGCTTAGATAGGACTTGTTGCTTGACTAAATCAACACTGAGTCAGGAAATCCTCTTATATTCTGTCTTGCCCATTAGTAGTCAATGACCAGCCTGGGAAAGATCAGTCTGGAAAATTCGTCCCTGAGAAGCTAGAGTGACACTGCTTGCCAGGAGCAGTTCCTGATAATCATACAGGTATCCATTCCTTTGTGTGCTAACACTTTACCAGATCCTCCAAGCTGGAAGGCAAGAAGATGGGAAGCAATGCTTCCTTCCTGACCCAATACTATCCTTCATGCCATTGAGCATTTTGATAATCTGGTGTAGTGAATGCATCACCTATGATGGTTCTTGCCCTTTGGAAGTATCTCTTCAGTATTCTGGCCCACACAAGCTCAAGTGATTGGACTAGCATTATGTAAACTTCTAGGCACAGGATATTGGAGCTGTAATTTTGGTGCAGCAAATCTATATTCCTCTAGTGACTGACTGACTGACTATTCCTCTAGGCCTCCAAGCAGTGCGTAATGGCATTTGATTGCAGCCTTGGTCTAGTTATGAAAATTTAAATATCTGCTTCTAAATGTGTCAGGCAGCCTGATTGGAAGGTTGTCCCATCTCCAAGTCTTGTTTGTGATGTCTGAGCTTCAATGACCTATTTAGGTATGTGTGCTGGTCCTGTGTAACCTTTTTAAGGTATGTGTGCTGGTCCTGTGTAACCTTTTTAAGGTACACATAGGTTTTCCTAAAGGGGAAGATCATGTCTCTCACAGACTTGCATCAGGAGAAGGATGCGAGAGGGAGATAGGTTGAACAACCTCATGCTGCAGTTCTGATCTGGATTGGAGCCCTCACAACTTTCCTATAGTGCTATATTAGTTGATCATGAGCAGGTATCATGAGCAGCTTGTTACATTTCTATATTATGTGAAGCAAAATCACTGCAAATGGAAAAGCCAAGTACAGTAAATAGAAATGTTCAGCTGGGTAGAGGGGTTGATACTCTAATCAGTATTAGATACCCAGAGGCTTTTTTCTAATGTAATTTTCTATTTTTGTAAAAATTGTTTTTCCCCCTGGATACCAAAAAAGACAAGCCCTTTGCTGTAATTATATTGAACACTTAAACAGGGAGAAAAGAGCAGATGTAGCATTTTTTCTTGGTAAGTACTGCAGTAACCTTGCATCTTAAAGAAACCCTATTTTCTTTTAGAGGGTGGGGAGGCTCTGTAGATGTATAGCTATCATAAAGAAGAAATATCCTTCCACCAGTTTTTATCCTTCTAATAGTACTGACACTAGCTCAGTTTGCGCATAATGCTAAGCCAGACCTTGACTTAGTGGAAGCATGTGGGTTCTGGAGAGGAAACCACAACTGCTTTTCTTCTCGTCTGGTCCTGCTGCTGCTGTGCTGCGGTGAGCTAAACCATGGTTTGGCTTGGCCCTGTCATCTGAAACAAGTTTGACAAATCATGAACTGTAAGCCATGGTTTGGTTTGGTTTGGCTTAGCATTGCATGCGAACAGGGTCACTGGTTTCATTTGTAGTTTGTGTTGATTAAATACCTGCTTGACTGATACTATGCCGTCCTTAAGCAAAAACACTGCTGGATTGAAATTAAGAGGGAGAACTGCTGAACCATACAAGTATGTAGCTAATTCAATCAGAGAAGCATGAGAGAGGGCGAGAATGGCTAATTGTGTAGGACAGCTTTGTCATTATTTTTGCTCTGAAATGGTGGGAAGCAGCCTGGGTTTCTGATGCCATCTCTCTGGATTTGGCAACATTTGGCTTTAACCCAAAAGAGAAAGTGGAGTGTATACGTTTCCAGCAGGGCCCTGTTGCTCTTGCACAGAATGGTTAACAGTGACATTAGTAGACAGAATGACCATTCCCCTACTCTTCCTTTAAGCAGATCCTTTAAAATGTATTATTGGGTGGATGGCCCATTACTTTGGGGTGCTAACTACCTCCCCCCCCCATAGTTATACATACACTACATTGTTTTCACAAGAATTTCATTTAATCCCATGAAATTAATTGTGTTGACCTTACCTAAAAGTGGCATGGCAGTTACAGCCCGGCATATCCATGCCACCATGACCCAGCCTCTCCTTGCCAGGCTCCAACAGCCAACGGAAGACATAACAACCTCTCCCATTGGCTGTGGGAATTCAAATTGGCCCATCTGCAAAATTGGCCAGTTATAGGCAGGTGTGGAAGCAGGGATTCAGAATGGTGGAGCTGATAGGGACTCCCAAAGGAGTCCTCACTGAAGGAGTCCTCAATGAGGTCCCCTCCCCTGGCTTAAAACAGACCCACCTCCTCACCCTGCACCGCAGTTGCCTTTTCGATCTCCCTCCGTTCCTTAACTCATGGTTGCATCATTTCATTTGCGTGTGATATCTTGTTCGATTTTGCCAAGGGTTGCTTCGGTATCAGTATTCAGTATATCAGCCTCTGTTGGAAACAGCATAATACCAGGTAGATGTTTTCTGAAACTGAACCATATATATGTTTGTGTAGTGATTTTTAAATACTAAAAAGGGTCCGAGCAAGTAAATTTAGAGTATATTTCAACATTGAATCCCCCCATCAAATTTACTTCAGAATTCAAGCTTATTAGGGCCCTAAGAAATAATATTGTTGCATAGTTGCTACAAAAAGAATGTGAAATTGGGACATGGAGCATGTGGTGTTCTTGATCATGTTAGGGCCTGTCTGCTTCATTTGCAAGCACAGCAGTTTAAAATATGACTGTCGTAAAGCTCAGTTCTTCTCTGAAATGTAGCTTTGCATGCATCTAAGGGTTCTCCCTGCCCCCCATGCAGTCCTTGCATGAATGTAGGTTAAGTCTGACCACCTATGCTGGATGTATATTACTATGAACATGGTTGCTATAGGCATTTGCTCCTTGAAACTCGGGACGGGCTGCATATTTCTCTTGCAAGTAGCCAATAGCTATGAATAAAATTAATCTATCCCACTTCACGACATATTTTTTCTTTTGAACTCCCAAACCTGGAATGCTCTGCTGCACACCGAGCAATAGAATATGCCTTTCAGATATTGTCTGTGAATTATCCCACCTCAAACTTTAGTGTTACTTCTCTGCAGAATTTGAATGTTGATGCATGTTTATAGAGGTGTTTGTGTTAAGAAGCAAGAACCTCAAGTCTTGCTCTGTGAGCTGCCTGTGTCTGTTTCTCCTGCTCAGCCTTGTACATACACAGAAACGAATGAGATTTGTAACATTAGTCCCTGCAATTGGCAGGCAGCATGGATCACCTAGACTGCCCAGAGCTGATATAAATACAGGTAAGGGATTTCTGCCCTCAACTGTTTAACAAACCAGTACCCTCTGCCTGCTGTACTTCAGACTCATGCACCAATCCCTTGCGCCTGTATCAAACCTTGGGACCGTAGAGCTGGAGAACATAACTATCAATAGGTTTGCATTCGGGTGTGACTTCCCATGATCCTGGGATGGCCCAATTCTTTGGACTTTTAAAAACATTAATTCACAAAAGCACTGTTAGCTTGCCCTTTCTGACAAGCTAGTTGCATTCTCTTCAGTTGGTGTTTCAGCTACTAATACAAAAAGCCATCCACTGGGGGCTACCAATTGCATCTAGAGCGTTGAGGTTATCCCATTTTTTCCTGCCCATATCCCCTCTTGCCACTCTTTGCAGTGGATATTGATCAATTTTACTTCTAAAACACGCTTCATCAGTAGAGATCCCAAAGTAGTCACAAGCTTAAAAAAACAAAACAGTAAAATAGTGTTTCAAACAGCAGCAATTCTCAATAAGCCTGAGATCTTAGCAAATTTTACTCCAGTAGTGGCCATCCATCTCATCAGAGGCAACCTTCAGTGGGAAATCAGTGCAGTTGGGCGGGGAGGTAGCTAATTGCAAGCATGTGCTTAAAAGAACATGTGTCATATAACATGTAGTTTGACCTTCTGAAGTTTACCCTGTAATACATGTGTTCATTATAACATATTCAGATTTTAGGATGCTGAATACACTAGTAACTCATACGTAATTCTTCTCTACTGATTCTAGAAGAATTAGAATGCTTCAAATACAGTGTTGAACAATAAGCCCTTTTACATCTTTAACCACTTTCAAATGTATTTTTAATCCATTAACAAACTTCCTAATACAGCATTAAATCTACATCTTCAAATAGATTTGCCTGCCTTTCACAATCTTTTGTATTCACTTTATTCCGTACCTTCCATTTTTAGTTCCTTTCCTTGACCTTAGCATACAAATGTGTAATGGGAGAAAAAATGATTGACTCACAGAACAGGGGTCTGCAGTGTAGTGATTTCATGCTCAGTTGTTGGCTAACAAGCTGCCATAGTTTCATTTAGTGAAGCCCAGTTGCAAAAGATGAAGGATTGTGTAAGGCCCAGCTGCCAAGGTTACAGAACAGACTGCTTAAAGGACTTCAAGGTTCCAAGTGTGAGGGGAATTGTCTCTGCCCAGCAGGTATGGAATAGATTTAGACAGAGTCTGTGGCACAGTGCGCTGCCTGCATTCATAAATCCCCCACAACATTCTCTTTAACAGAGAGTGTTAAAAAGACCTTTTTTTCTCTATGCAACTACTGCAGAATCTTTAGCTAATACGGAAGGCACGGAGTTACCAGCTGGAAGAGTGCATACCAACTGATGACTACTGGATTGGCCAGAGACGGAGAACCCTGGAGGAGGCAGTGGAAAGGTGGAAAAATTTAAGGACTACTCAAAAGCATTACATATGAATGTGAGAATTTTGCTAAGTTTGGAAAACATGCTTCAGTAGAATTTGAAAATGAGGGAATTAGTATATTGTGAAAAGTCAAAATTTAGAGCATGTTCCTATATAGGGATGGAGGATAGAAAGAGTACTCACAAAAGTACTCTAATCTAAATATAATCAGATGAAATACAAAACGCATGAAGCAAGTATTAATTTCTGTAATTTTATTTTATAAAGAATGCAGGCGCTGGGATTGGAAGTCAGTGGATCATGAAAAATGTTTGAAACTTTCTTTTTTCTATCTTTCTTTTTCTGTTCTGTAAAACCGCTTTTGTTGAGTTACTGACGATGTATTTGACACTGGAAAAAAGCAATAAAAAATATTTAAAAAACAAAACAAAATTACAACATTCTCCTCCCATTTCGCTGTGTACATACTTAACCCTTACACAGCTGTTCTGGAATAGCTTGTCTTTCAAAATAGGCATGAAATATAAAAAAGCTGTTTCTACATACTTTGTGGTAATAGTGATCCATGATAGAACCTGGCGTAACCAAATGCATGCATGTACTACTCTACTGATATAGCTTTATATTTGAAAAGAAAAAGGCAGTCCTTTTAATTACCCAAATAGCTTGATAGTCAAGGGCCTCTCAGACTTTCTAAGCCCCAGGCTTACTTGGCAGGGCTAAACATTTCTGAGGCCCATGAATCATAATATGGTGGTGGAGGGGTAGAGCCAGTAATATATATAGGAGGAAATTGGCATAATCAGTTGCTAATTACTGATATCCTTTTATATTGACAGTTAATAATTCTTGGGAAATTGTTAGATTCACTGCTAAATTTCATTGTGGCAGGGAATTCCATAGTTCAGCTTTTCTCAGGCTGAATACAGACATGCTCTCTGGAGGTATTGTGACTCAGCCTTCCCATTTTAGGCAAAATTTGTTGATTCAGCACATATCTCTCAGCCTCAGACCTGCTACCAGGTTTCAAATTTCCAGTGTTTCCAGCCTTTCTTTGTCTTCTTTCCTCTACCACCACCTCTTTAAAAGCACATGGTTTTTTCAGCTGAAAAATCCATACCTGGGAAGATTTCAGTTAGTTATCTGCTTCTGTCATTTAAATCCAAGGGAAATATTGTTTATTTGCAATGTTAGAAAGGATTTCACAAAGTTAAATCATCCATCCTTCCAATTCCTGAATTATATACTGTAATATAACTGGATGATGCAACTGGCATCTACTATTAAATTAAACATAGAGAATAGTTGAAGTAACAGGCTATTTCTATCTGTGTCAAAAAGGTGTCATAGTGGTTAATTAAGTTGTTTTTAGCTCCAAGGTTTCTCTATGCATTTCATTAGCACTTATTATTCAAACACTGCATATACAGATCTGTCTTTAAGTAATATAGACTAAATTGTACAGTCTTTTTATATACCGTATTGGCCTGAATACAGTGGTACCTCAGGTTAAGAACTTAATTTGTTCTGGAGGTCCGTTCTTAACCTAAGGTACCACTTTAGCTAATGGGGCCTCCTGCACCGCTGCGCAATTTCTGTTTTCATCCTGAAGCAAAGTTCTTAACCCAAGGTACTATTTCTGGGTTAGCGGGGTCTGTAACCTGAAGTGTCTGTAACCCGAGGTACCACTGTATGGGCCTCATTTTTCCCCCAAATTCCGACCGTGAAAAGCGACCTTACAAAAATTGGCTTTTACGATATCTCTGCTGAAACAGACATACGGTAAAATGGAACAGGTGTGAGTGCCTGCGGAATTTTAAGAGAGCGGCTTATATTCAGGTATTGTCTTTTTTTCTTTCCCCCTCTTGAAGTCTAAAGATGTGGCTTATATTCGGGCCAATCTTTCTTCTGCTGTGCATTAAATTCATCATAGCTGATACATTTTCCTTAATTTTGTGGAACTAGGTAATATTTTTGCTTTTATTCTGTTGTTGCCTTATAATTCCTATTCATAAGGAATTCCTATTGTCTTCTCACTTCCCACTTCAAAATTTACTTTAGAATCATATCACTGCATTTACTACAAAGGAAGACAGCAATATGAGGTAATAGTAGTCAGTGCATTCTTTCCCACAAAAATGCACCCCTTAAGGAATTATATGGTGCTTTTTATTTACTTCTTACATTTTTCTTTCATGCATTACATTTGTATAAGTTTACTGCATCCTAGACACTTGAGAAATCAGCCTGCTGGTCTGTTCCTTTACTGATCTCCCCCCCTTTTTATAAGCTGCTATGGCAACATTTCTTATCAAAGGACCTTGACTCTTGAATGTATGAAATCCCAGCTGTAGAGTTTGATACACCAAAGTTAACTTCCACTTGACCAAATTCATCCTATATTTAACTCTATGGGTATAAACCTTTCTACAAGGCATAAGTTGATTCAAGACCACAATGAGAGATAGCTGCTGATCACATTCTTCCAAATCTCAAATTTCAAACAATACTTACAAATATTTAAAATGGGATAGTTCCTTCTCCTGGTTGTTAGATGAACAATTTGCAAATGACCCCCAGGGAAGTGATGTTCCACAATTTCCATATCATCCCTGTAGCAGAAGACAAAATGAGAGAACTGCTAAGCAAGCCCTGTGACATTAGAAGAAAACCCCAACATAACACTCAAGCAACTTCTGTCCCCCAGCCAGGTTCCTCTGTCTTAAAATAAGAGGGCACTGAGTTACCTAACTTGGGAAGACTGTGTTCCTTTTAGTTTTACCTGAGAAATACATTCCCCTAGCATAAGGTATGTACCTCAATTCTGATGATAAAACTTTGTTCTGTACTCTAAAAAAGTAGTGAGCTAATTCCATTTTCAATGGGAGTTGACTTACAAGTGAGAAAGCTGTTTGAAACCAAGGTATGAACTGGAAGTTCTAGAAAGCACCTTTCCTTACTGTCCATATGCAAGTTGTCACTTGTCTGTATGCAAGAGGTTCCAATAATCAAGGCTGTTCCTTCCTGATAGTATTAAAAACCAGAAAACTCAAACTTCTCTTTGCCTACCCCTGAACTAAAGCATTGAAAGCTTAAACTATGCTTATTATAGCATATATTTATCAATAGATTGCAAAGCAAATCTGCACTGAGAGTATAATGTGAATTGTTTTGAGATCATAATTATCACAGGCCCCAACATTTCTCTCTAACTTATCACACTGTTTTATCTTGAGTAATTCAGATCCTTGGAGACTCCTTTCTTCAAAGCTTTGGAGAGGACTTTAGTGGGGTTAGATTGGTGAAAATGGACAGGTTTCAAAACTAAACTACATACCTCTGCTGTTACAGTTTTCTGTAATCCTTTTGGACACTTGCAGCTGTAAAGCGTTTCATTCTTTAGAAAGCCATGTGTCTCCCAATTCACTCACTAAATTAAACTTTTCTGCTGACTTGTGTTTATTTAAACAGCTTTGATTAAGTAATTATACTAGTTTGCCTGTCATGGTTTCATTGGTCTCCTATAGCCCCTGGAGGGGGAAGGCAGAAAAAGACTATTTATGGTCAGCTGGAGGTCTTGTCCAGAGCTGCTTGTACCTGCCCAACATCAAGTACTATATTTATTAATTGAACTCTAACCTTTTCTTACCCTGAACTTTCATTATGAGCCCTTTCTTGATATTTCTGAATGTTTTTTTCTAGTCCTGCCTGTTTGCTTTAAAATATTTGTTTGTTTAATATTTGTTATTCTCTTTACCCAAGTATTCAAAGGTGGCTTGAAGCTGCAGATTTAGAAAACGTCAGCAAACAATAAAATATATAATAGAAAACATTAAAATAAAGGCAACAAACAAAAAACAGAATGGCAGCAATTAAAACAGAACTATAATATCCACTAAGTATGTCTGATAAACACGTAATTGACCCATAAATCCTTCAGTTTTACACATGTGAAGGTTCTGTAAACCAAAACTGATTCCAAGATATTGCTACTGCACTATCTCAATGCACAATATGTCAAATCTTTTGGATTTAAGCTGGTCTGGTCAGTACTTCTATATGGGTGATCATGTGGGAACCCTATGTATGCTGTCTTTGAGTTTCGTTGTGGAAGGAAGGTGTATTAATTAAATATGAATGCATTGCTTTGTGTAGATTTTCAAAAACATTATTAAATATGACTTAAGAAGATAAATGCCAAATCTCTTCCATTTGTCTTCATTACTTTTGCCGGTTGAATACAAACCTGCAAATAGAAGGAATCTTTGGATACAAAATCTGTATATAGATGGCATGTGAGGTCAGAGGTCAAAGTGAACCAACCAATTAATATAATTTTTGCTTTTGTACAGTAGGCAAGCTTTCACACACACTAACAAACCCCTCTGTAGCCTCCATCCTGATGAGCAAGAGGCATTATCAGAATTCAAGGCAAAGATACTCAGGGATGGGATGTAGCCTAGGGAGAATCCCAAGAGTCATATAGAGAGACCTGGAGGGCTGCATCTGGCCCCCAGGTTTGATGCTCCCCCACCCCTTCCCTAGAGCATTCCTCAAAAGTAAGAAGCTTTTCCCCTTGTGCAAAAGCCTGTTGTACAAGCAGAAATATGAACTGTGATAGAGGACCTATTGTAGCACTGCATAACTTCTTGCAGAAGTTATTGACACAATCATTTATTAAACAACACAAGCAACACCCCCCCCCAAAAAACACAACTTACCATACTTATGGCTCAGTGCATCTTTTAAAAAGGCATTCACTACACTAAACAACCAGAAGTCCTACACTTCTCAGTAGAATTTGTGAGACTCAAGGAATATGAAACCATAGTTTGTTTACCTGAAGCTAGCTAATTTGATATTTCTAAATTACTTACATTTAGGGCACAGTCTTTATGGAAGACAAACATAATGGGGTCAATGAACACAAATTCTTAGATACTTAGAGGAGTCAAGTCTGTAAAAAAGGGGGGGAAAGACAGAACTTTTCTAGTCTCAAAACCACCTAGTGATCCGAGGTTGGTGGTCTCAAAACAAAACATTTGTGAGGAAACAAATACCAACCTGCCATAGATATACATAGAGTGAAGATGTTTTAGTTTAAAAGAACAGCAGCTGAGAAACAGTTATTTGATCCCTGCTGTTTGAGGGACAAAAGAAGAGCGTTTTTGCGATCACTCATCAGTGATCCCTGTGCAGCTTGATTCCAACAGCCGCAACAAAACCACAGATGTTATAACAACATTGCAGTAGGTGGTATTATGTTGCAAATCTTATGCATAGTAGTATCAGACAGATGTATTGTTCTGTTGCTTCCAGAACTATTGCCCAAGTTTGCTGCAACAGTACAGCTAGTCTGTACATAATTTGTAAATTATGTGCCTGCGTCACCTACTCTATTTATCTGAAGTAGAGCCATAACTTGCAAGTTGTGTGTGTGCTTCACACAAACAGAAGTATGAAAACTTCCATAGGGCCCTTCTGTTGGAACTATCTGTTATAGAAGGTTGCATTATAGTGAGTGTGTGTTTGTGAGAGACAGACAAAGACAGAGGACAGGATTCTACTACCTGTGTTTTGTTCAGATGTTGTGCACACAAAATAAAAATAAGTACTCATGTCTAATGTGCAGACCAGTTACATACACACATTAACAGACCTTTTAGGGTCGTTGTCCCCAGAAAAATCAACTTTGAAGTATTATGATTTGGAGTTAGGAAGAAGCACTTAACCCTTCCCTGCCTTCTGCTTCTCTGTTCCTAATTGCCCTTTCCTCAAACCACCTTTTTTTACCTGTGGATTTCAAATGCATGTTAACAGTTCTTTTTGGAAACATGAAATAACAACACACTAAGCACTGCTTTGAAGCAAATCCATAGAACACAAATCATGTATGTATTGATTTATAGGTTCACTGCATACAAAGCACCTGGTTTTTCTGTGACATTTTTCTCTTTCTTCCACATAATCGAATTACCAAGAATTATTTGATGTTGTTAGCACTTAACCTAGACTTTTTTATGAAATCAGTTGCTCAGTCAGCATGCCTGCCACCTATGTCCACACAGCCAACATATCTTTACACTATCTAGGTCCTTCTATCTGAAGGATTGTATGAAATTTTATGTTAAACGGTGGTCTGCTATTCACACATCCATTTTATTTTCTTTGAACATGGACCACAGTTAAGTGTATTGTACAACTAGGCAGTTTGATATCACTTTGATAGACACAAAGTGACCTTATATGTGCACTCCTGTGTACTCTAATCTGTGGTCTCCCATCTCCCACTCGACAGGAATTCTGAGATGTTGATGGAACCCTCCGTTTCAACAGAGCAGCTGTGCTGACCTTTAACCCTTCACACTGGTTCTGACAGCTGCCTGCCATGTGTAGAGGAAACCTCACAGACGAACATTTCTGTCCTGAAGTAAAGATTTTTAGATAAACATGCAAGCACTACTATGGATACTACTTTTAAAAATAAATAAGCTACTGAATATATAACAGCAGGATACGTTGTAGACTGTTAAAAAATATATACACACTATTGCTAGCTCGTTTTCCTGAAGAACTTTTAAATAACGAAAATTATCATAAACTTAAAACTGCACACCAAATGCAACCAATCTGAAATTTATAAATTTTATTAAATGAAGTTAATTGGGCACCGCAAATATAGGCTTATGGCATTACTGGCATATATGTAGGTGAGGTGATTCAGACACTTCTAAAGCAACTGAACTTGTGTGCAGTTTTTAAATTTTAATCCAAATAATACAACCTTTTCCCAGTTGTTGTTTTCGGGGGGAGGGGGAATTAAAACACAACTTTAACCAAAAAGAAAACTGCTTTAAAAACCTTTATGTGTTAAAATATGGTGACTTGAATGTCAGGTTCATCTTGCTCTTATTGAGAGTCCAGTGTTATGTGCTAATGTTTTCCTGCCTTTTTGCGCAGCTGTTATGGTATTAATATAATATACCTTCCCCATTTGTGTAGAGGTCACTATTCTGTTGCCCACTCACATTACGTCTGCTCAGATATTAACTGCTTGAGGTTTTTTATCTCAAATATTCAACAGTACCTCAACAACATGAGGTATTGCTTTTTCTAAAATGAATGAATGAATGAATAAAAATACAGTAGAAGACTTTTTTTATTCATTTGTTTCTTAGCAGCAGAAGAAAGTCTCTTGGTTAAAATCATATTCTATTCAAATTCTTACCTTACAAAATAGTTGCCTCTTTTTTCTATTGGACAGTTTGACAGACTGTAATTTAGTGCTGTTAATTTTTTGTTCATATGTTACTAAAAATAAAAAAAATCGGGGGGGGGGCGCTCTCTCTGTGTAGGGTGTTAAGTGTTCATGTCCTTATTTAAGGCAAATGGATAATATATTTTCTACCTCTGTCCAGCTGGAAATTCTGTTAAATTTGCACATGAGTGCCTCTTTAGTTGAGTAGTGAAAAGAAAACGTTCCCACCATTATAAGCCTTAAAATTCTATACTTTATAATAATGGCATCTCATGAGCTATCAACATGAAACCTGACATTACATGATCGACGTGATAAGGTCTACAAAATTTCAAAGTGATCCAATGAAAATTG